CTCCGTTATGATAATCAGTAGAATGGGCGTGTACACATGAATTCTTGGTACAGAAAATATACATATAAGGCAAAAGTACATAAAAAAAAAAACAGGAACTCTGGAAACTCCCTTATACTTGCAAATATACTCCCTTATATTTTTTCAAAACTCAAACCTAGATCACGAGAAGAGGAACATTTCATACTTACTCCAGAAAGAAGTTCCAAAATCTAAAATAACAGATTTACTTCACTCATATACTTTCCTGGAAAACTATGATCTGAACAAATATTTGACAAACAGAAATGTAGAAAATGTTTGAGGTTTTTGGACTTCAGACCATATGTAATCAATAATCTGTGTCACAAATATTTACTATTCCAGAGGATTCTGGTATTTTGTCGGTAAAAAGGCTCCTCCTCTATATTCTCTTCATAAATATGAGCAGTGCTTCCTGACCCTTGGCAGAGGACCTACAGAAGTGTGATGAAGGTAATAACAAACTTTTGTCTTACTTCACTGTTTTTACTGTAACATGGACATGTGGTTATTTAGTTATGACTGTAGTGGAGAGTGTAGATTTAGGATGCGTTCACACTGGTCATGAGTTGGTCCTGAACTGAACCCACTTGTTAATCATAACTAGTGCACAATGTAGAGTTTTAGAGATTTGTTTAGTTGTTTATCGTACAGTTGCCTGGTAACAGTTACAGAATTATTTGCTCCACCCATGTCCAACCATGAATCCAATCCAACTTTATTTGTACAGAACATAAAAAAATTTAACTAATAGAATCAATAGAGAAAAGAATAATGATACAATTAATGAATAAAAATAGCAAAATAAATCAACAAAAGCAGAAAAAAAAAATACAATTGTTATATAAATTTAAAAATAATAATAATTAATTAAATAAAAGACAACAGAGGACCACACAACTCACCCGGTGTTAAAAGCTGGAGAATAAAAGTGAATCTTAAGGCGAGACTCCACTAAGGAGACTGTACAGATGATGAGGGGGCAGAAGTGAAATCTAACCAAAAAGTAGATAGAACTAGACAATTTTTAAAAATAAAATTGAATATATATAATGATTAAATTATAACTTTAAGTGAAATGAGTCATCTAACCTGTGATATGCTCTTTGGGGTTCACTGAGTCCTAATGGAGACTTGATCTGGCGTAGTCCCAGTTTAGTCAGTTTTGATGTGGTAATTGTGCAAGTGTGAAGTCTAACAGTGTATGTTTCAGTGTTACAGAATGCTGCTGGTTCACCTGTGCACACTGCTGCTCATCAGCTCAGCGCTGAGTCTCCCAGTGGAAGATCGAGACCTGGACAAAGAATTTGAAGAATGGAAGATAAAGCACGACAAAGTGTACAACTCACCGGTCAGTGTCAAACTCTGAAGAATATTTCTACACACCTTTTTCCAGAATAATAATTTTTTTCCTCTACCTTTTCTTTTTATTTAGCAAAACAGAATAAACAACTTGAATAAACTGAATAAACTAAATATTTCTTTGAAGAAAAGTTCATTATTACCTAAAAGAAGAACTTGAATGAAAAACTGTATCAATCCAAATTTTAATTCGTGAAAGAAATGTTGGACCACATGGTGATAGAGACTCATGGAAATCTGAATAAAGTTCTGAAGGACAAGATCCCACTCAGAACCTAGAATTCATACATTACCAACTGATATTTTACTGGATTCAGCTTTTGTAAATACTAAAGAGGAAATATGTGATGCTTTCAAAGGTCCTGTATTGACTCTTATGAGTTTTAAGCCATGTTATAATAATGTTACCGCCTCTAAAACATACCTGGAGTTGTGTTTTCTTACATTCACACATGTTAGAGTAAGCCTGCATTATTAGTCATCATTATTTGCATCTTCTAAGTTCACTATGCTCTGTTCTACCTTGTGATGAGCGTTTTCCATTAAACAACTCAGCTTGAATATGCAGGTTAGTGTGTTAAACATGTGCGAATGAAACAAAACACAACTCCAGGTATGTTTGTGATAAGGAAACTACATTAGAACATAGCCTAAATCAGAAAATATTGTAATATAGTTAATAAGCATTTTACCTTTGTGTGTGATGTTTTGGATAATAATGGTGATCCTTCAGTCCTTCAGATCTTTTATGCTGAATTTTGTGTGTGTGTATGTGTGTGTCAGGAGGAAGAGGCTGAGCGCAGAGCCATTTGGGAGAAGACACGTCAACGAATAGAGGCCCACAACAAGGAGGCTGACCAGGGTCTGCACACGTACTGGCAGGGCTTGAACCAGTTCAGTGACCAGGTAAGGTAGTTTACTTTAGTTTATTTAGTTTATTTGACAGGGACCATGTAACCAAAGAAACATTGAAGAGATGCTTTTTACCAGATTATAGCTCTCATCTGCAGTCCCTGAGACAGAAGAAACTTAGGATACAAAAATAAAATAAATGACACAATCTATATTCTAACAGTTCTAAAAAGTACAATGAATGGATTAAAGGGACAGTTCAGAATTTTTGACATAGGGCCTCATTTCCTAGTGAGCCAAAGTGCTATAGACCAGTGGAGACACTTTTTGAAATAATCCATCCAATCTTTGTATTTGGAGAGGTTGTTGATGCTAGGCTAGTGTATGTCAATGGCCATAGTTAGCCTGCCACTAAAAACAGTCTTACCCACTCCACAAAACACCCGAGGTAAATCTATTATTACGCCAGACTGTCAAAGTGAATGTCGGTGTCGATAGAATAATTTTAGAAGTGCAACTAACCTTGTATCACATGAATCGCCGCATGTTGAGGGACTATTTTCTCAGCAGCAGTGGAATTTTACTCTGCTCTAGGTAGTTGTGATGATATGAACGTGGCCGTGTCTGGAACAGGCTTTTACATGTGCTCTATGTGTTGCTCTGACAGCTGCAGGTAAACAAACTATTACAGAGCCGGTAAGATAGGTGCCAGGTGATATCAGTCCGCCACTGCCAAGGTTTCAATCAGGAAGTACAACTCGCTGCTGCTGCTCAGACATAAATCCTTCAAATGCAAGGTTGATTTTACTTCTACAATTATTCTATCAACACACACATTCTCATTGACAGTCTGGTGTAATAATAGATTTGCTTTGCATGTTTTGCGGAGTGGATGAGACTGTTTTTAGTGGCAGGCTAACTATGGCCATTGACATGCACTAGCCTAGCACCAGCGACCTCTGCAAATACAAGGACTGGATGGAATATTTTAAAAAGTGTCTCCACACATCTCCAACACTCTGGCTCACTATGAAAATTCCGAACTGTCCCTTTAAATATCTCTGTCCCATTCCCCCTTGCTCCCTCTGTGCCTATAATCAAGTATAATTTAGTTGTTAGTCATAAGTTGTTTTATATATATATATATATATATATAATATATATATATATATATATATATATATATATATATATATATATATATACACACACAAACATATTGCAGTATTTTTTCACAACTTTGCACATTTAGCTTGTACAAAGATGGCATGTTTTCAAATACTGTTGTCTCTTGTAGAAAGAAGAAGAGAGACGTAGAGGATGTGCTTTTATTCTCCCCCCAGAGCCAGAGCGAGACCTGCCCGTACTTATCCCCATTTTGCCAATATTTAATGATAACAGCACCAACGTGAATAGCACCAACGTGAATAGCACCCTTGTGGCCAGGGAGGAATCTCTGTGAGACTAATGTGTCTATACCACAGAAAACTATCCAAAATGATAACTTTTTAATAATAAACACAATATAGGTTTGTTTTGTTTTTTTCTGTGACTGAATGCATTCATTATTTTTCTGTAATCTATCTTGTTTTCATTCCTTTATTAAATGCAATTTATCCAAATATGACTGTGTTGACCTTTATTTCCATCAGATTACATTTTTACAGTGGGGCCGTCTTAATCAGCTGATGGTGTCTTAGTCAACCAAAATTTGCATTTGTGTATAATCACAATTTAATTAGATTAAAAGGATTTATATATAAATAACACAAAAAAATATTAAGGGGAAAAGAGCTGAACAATGAATAAACAATTCTCACCTGAAATAAACGAACAGAGGAAAATATTGTACCCAGTTGTCCAGGAGAACAGATGAAATAACAAATGAGCTACTTGAGGGGCAACTGTTCAGAGAATCTTGTGTAACACCATTATTATGCTGGGAAAGCTTCTCAAATTGATGACAGAGGCAGATTTCTTTATTGGAACATCAGTGTTTCTGAAAGTTTCTTTCACTTCATATTTCAATCAAAATAATAATGCATATTTTCAATAACAGCATAACATTAAACAATAAACCATGGCTCTTCTAGTAATGCACTGCCCAAACAACTAGAGCAGATAAAGAATAGGCCATATAAATGAATTAAATGAACAGAGAAAAAAAAAGAAAAAAAAAAAACAATATCTCAGCCAACGGAAATAATGATATGAAATGTAAAAGCAATGCTCCCTTGGGCCCAACGCTTTCTTGATGTGTGTAAATGTGTGTTTGATGTGTCATTGTACTGGCCTATGTTGTTTTTTTGTTTTTTTGCACATCATTCTGTTTTGTTTTCATTAAGGTTTACACACTGCCATGAGTTAAGCTGAGTTACACTGTGTGATTCAGTATGATTTTAAGATCATTCAAATAATTGCCAAACTCACACTGACATTGTTTCTCAAATGAAGCTCAGGATGAGAGTGCTCACACTGGATGGATGGACATATGTGCTGACCTGCTCACACTGTATGAGGGACATGAGCCAGAGAAGGGTTGTGTGCAGGCATGCTTCACTTCTTACTTGGTTAAAATCTCATGCTATGATGTTAAATCTGAGTTTACAAAAAAAAAAAAAAAATTGGCAAAGCATATCTTTTCCCCTCATTGTTTGATGTTTGTGAACTTTAGACCATGTAATCAAAAACGTCTGTTGCAAATATTTACTATTCCAGGGGATTCTGATGTATTTTACCGGCAAATTAAGTGGCTCCTCCTCTATATTGACTATCTCTTCATATAAATAAGAGTAGTGCTTTGTGACCAGAGGATCTACAGAGGTGTACGATAAAGGTAACTACAATCTTTTCTGCTAATTCACTTTACTGTACTCTGAACATGTGATCATTTACTTTATGTGGAGATTTAGGTTGCATTCACATTTGTCGTTATCTGGTCCTGAATTAAACACATTTTAGTCCTGATGTAGACTTGTAGTCCTGTTCCAGTCCTGGCTTAGTCCTGGTCTTGGGCCTAGTCCTAGTTTAGTCCCAATTTTGATGTGTTGAATGTGCAAGTGTGGACACATGCTAAATTCAGATTGAGTGGGGAAAAACATACTACTATTTTGTCACTAAATTGTTTAATTAATAAGGTAATAATTGTATCAACACCATAGCATACACATTTGTTACGCGGGTACATTTCATTACAACTTAAAAATACTAAATATAACATGAAGAAAGATGTAATTCAAAATGAACAAGTTTATTAAGAATGATGCAGGCTCATTCACTACTTATCTAATACAGTAGCTAACCCTTATTATTAAAGGCCAACAAGCATCAAACTGTCTGTGTGCATTCATGTTGATGCTTTATTAGGACTGTAAATAGTGTATTTGTTATACAGTATTTTCATTGTGTGGTGCCTCTCATTATGTTTCACTGAAAAGTAAAGGCAGAAATAATGCAGAAACCCAGTGCAGTTCAATTGATCAGAATCCATTTGCATATGATGATTTTCTGATTTTCTAATGTAGCAGAACAATCTGTTTTAGTGGATTAACGTAGTAAAATTATCAGGAACGTCACCCGCTAACCAAGACACAGTACTGTATTTTCCTCACACACTATAGGCATGAGACATTAATATACTTACATTTAATTTATTATCCGTTTATAGCATCGACATTGAAAAAAAAAAAAAAAGCCTTAATCAGTCCTGTTAGGATTTTGTTTATCCATTCATCATTTACTTGAGATTATTTTAGGACCATTACTATTAATTACTATTATTATTTTAGTGAAATGAGTGGTCTAACCTGTCATATGCACTTTGAAGCTCATTGAGTCCTAATTTTGACTTGATCTAGTCCTGTTCTAGTCCAGGTTTAGGTCCGTGTTTAGTCCCAGTGTGAAGTCTAACGGTGCATGTTTCAGTGTTACAGAATGCTGCTGGTTCACCTGTGCACACTGCTGCTCATCAGCTCAGCGCTGAGTCTCCCAGTGGAAGATCGAGACCTGGACAAAGAGTTCAAAGAATGGAAGATAAAGCACGACAAAGTGTACAACTCACCGGTCAGTGTCAAACTATCAAGGCCATTTCTCCACACCTTTATCCAAAATGTTCCAGTCTTTTTGATACATGAACAATTCTTTTTCGTCCTTGTTCTTTTTATTTACAGCAACAAAACTGAATAGAAACTGAAAAAGTATTATTTCTTTGAAGCTGTAGTTATTATTTTTATTTATTTGTGGTGCCTCGTAACTAGTGCTCTACTGCTGTCCTATTGTTATCAAACATGTTTACAACTTGGGATTTATGTGTGTGTGTGTGTGTGTGTGTGTGTGTTTGTGTATGTGTTTGTGTGTGTGTGTTTGTGTATGTGTTTGTGTGTGGGTGTGTGTGTGCGTGCGTGTGGGTGTGTGCGTGCAACAGGCGGAAGAAGCTGAGCGCAGGGCTATCTGGGAGAAGACACTTCGACAGGTGGAGGCCCACAACAAGGAGGCTGACCGGGGTCTGCACACGTACTGGCAGGGCTTGAACCAGTTCAGTGACCAGGTAAGACAGAGACATCTCACGGTACGATATTTACTGTGATATTTTGAAGAGCTAATAATTAAAGATGGGACACTTTTTTGCTTTTAAAATACCTTGACAAGATTTTGGTGTGAATTATTCCTGACATAATCCCAAGAATTCAAGGAAAAAACATATTGCTTCATGTTGTCTGTGCGGAAATGAATCATGGGATATGTAGTTCCCTATGTTTATAAGCCGTTACTACTATAAAACCATGCATTTAGCAAAGAAACTTGTGATTCAGTATATTATTGTGAGACTTTTGATGATACGATATCATGATATTTTGGCTATACATCCCTAAACATTACTGTAAGTAGAAGTACAAAGTAGTGGTCCAAAATATTACTCAAGAAAGAGTAACAGTAACAAGACTGTTGCTGGCTTATGATTTGTAAAGTGAACTGAACGACACAATAAATGCGCAAAATCTGAAATCTTCAAAAGGATAGATGCAAAAATGTGGAAAACCTACATCTGAAGGGCAGTTGTCAGTACTCTTACTTGAGTAATCAAATGTTTTACTAAAGTCCTTACTTCAATAAAAGTAGGAGGAAAAAATACTCAGTAAAAAAGTACTCTGAAAAGTAACTGATGTAGTGGTAGTAACTGAGTACTCCCCATCTCTAATAGCTTCCTCACAACTATGAATGTTAGTTTGGAGATGGAGGGCATATTTTTATTGTTGCTTTTATTTTTGTCCCTTGTAGAAAGAAGAAGAATGGAAACCATGTTTACTTCCTGATATCCCAGAAGAGCCCATGAGACAATTTCCGGGTTTGTACATTCCACGTGACATTCCCAACCAGAACAGCACTGAGGAGTTAGGAAACAACGCCACAGCTGTCTAATGTGTCTAAACCACTGAATACAGTCAAAAATCATATATTTCAAACACAATTTGTTTTCCCTTTTCTGTAATTTATGTTTTTAAATGTTGTCTTTAATAAATACATTTGATTTGATCCAAATGTGATTGTGTTGAACTTCATTTTAATCAGGTCAGATTTTCACTGTAGGCCTTTAATCAATTAATCTTCTTGGTTTTTGTCGACCATTTGTATCCGTATGACTAATCAATTTAATGAGATTCTGCGGAAAGGAAAAGTTAGTGAGTTTGCTGAAGTTTTTGTATTTTTGGTACGTACTCAAAAAATGTGAATAGAAATATTATGAAAAAGTTTGAGGTTTTTTGTCATTGTTTCATTTCAGAAAGTCAAACCCATACATTATATAGACTTATGATACATAACATGAAGCTTCAAGCCTTTATTTCTTGATATTTTGATGATTATGGCTGACAGATAATGAAAACCCAAAATTCATTGTCTGAGAAAATTTGAAAAACTGAAAAAGTTCAATATTGGGAAGTCATGAAGTCACACCTTAATAAGCAAATGAACTGAAAATATATGCCAAAGATTCCTGAGCTGTTACTGGAGAAGCCTGCAGACTGACCAGAAGACAATCACTGACACCCTCCACAAGGACGATAAGCCACAAAGATGCTAAAGAAGCTGGTTGTTGTTGTAGTGTGAAAACATCTGTGAGAAGCACAGGGCCCCAGCAGTGTACTTGACAATTCTGGTGTCGTCTAGCAAATGCCAGTGGAGCTTCACGGTGCTGGGCGGTGGGACAGTGCCCACTACAGGGCAAGGCACCTTCAAGCCATTAAATTCATTGCAATGACACATCCGGATGTGCCATTCTGGAGAAGTTGGACAATCTGTGGTAACTGATTTATTAGTTTAATGACCTGTACAAACATCTAGTGGTATAACAACTCAATATAATGATCACATCCATGTTCAGATGGAAAAAAAAACTAAAAACACCAAACTATTGTGGTCCGTGGAGAAAAGTGTGGAGTATTTGCCAATCTCCAGTTAGAAGCGTGCACAACCTCAATCATGATTGGCTCTTGTGGTTGCTATGATACTCATGGTTGAATTTCCAAATATGGAGGCTGGCTCCAAATTTGCTGATCTGGTGTGTTTTTAAAGTGTTCCTTTAATTTTTTGAGCAGTGTATAATTATTAAATTATTATAATGATACACATATTCTACAATTGTATGTTGTGTAAATTGCAAAGCACCTCTTGGTGTAGCATAATATATACTGCAGTTAAAGACACAAATCAGATTTAATTATTTTATAAAATCTGGCATTGTACTTGAGCCAAAAAGGTACAATGTAAGCAATTATAAAAGTGTGCGTTTCATTAAAAAAAAAAAAAAAAAGGAAACCTAACCTATTGGGACCTGTCAGGAATGCCTTTTGTTCCCGGTTCTGCTCATTGTCTTTATGCTCTGTCTTTATGCCACAGGGTGAATGAAAAAGTGACCTCCAAACCAGATCAGCTTTGAAAATATTTGTCATTCCAGAAAACTGATGATGCAATCGGCTGTTTCATAATATTGAACTATATGAACTGCAGTTTCTCTGAGGACAGGATCAGAGACTGGACACCATAGACATCAGTAAAAGGTACACAAAGTTTTTTTTTTTTTTTTTTTTTCTATTTTATTTACAATCAAAAATAATAATCTAAACATTTAGTGTTTTTTTTATGTTACAGATGTTGGTCCATCTGTGCTTGTTGCTGCTTGTCACATCAGTGCTGAGTTGTCCAGTGCGTAACGTGCACCTAGATGCCCAGTTTCAAGAATGGAAGCAGAAATTTCAGAAAGTGTACAGTGGACCAGTGAGTGTCAAAAAGAATTTCAGGCAGTTAAATATACAATGACAATTAATTACTAATAGATGAATTTTTGATGGCTTGATAAAGATTTTTTTTCTTACCTATGATATGAAGTTACCTGGGATTGTGCATTTGGTTAAAATAGCTATTTTTAGTTTGTGTATGTAAAACAACATGTGAATTGTTGTTCATTTCTATTATGTTTATGTGTAAGGAAGAGGAGGCCATGCGCAGGGCCCTGTGGGAAGAGACTCTCATATTAGTGGAAACACACAACAGAGAGGCAGATCTGGGACTGCACTCGTACTGGTTGGGCATGAACCATTTCAGTGACATGGTGAGTTACAGACTGGGCCTGCATACTTCTCTTTATCTTTACTTAGGTGTACAAAAAGGGCCTTCTTTAGCAGTCACTGGCTACATGCTGACTAGGTCTGCAAGATTACAGTTTTTTTCTCAGTCACTGTAGCACTTTTTTTTTTTTTTGGTTTAGTGAATATTCCAGAGAGCTACTCATCTTACGGTTGCAGGAAATAAAGTATAAATAAGAGCCATGGGAAGACGTAGATGGGGTACAGTTGGATAAAACATAGAACATAAACCATTATTTATTTATGAGTGCACAAAGTCAGGCATCATAATGATAGATTTACAATAATAATAATAGGCATTTAATTCATCAAATTTGAGTTATTCAGGACAGTACATGTAACTCACCTCACTCCCATCATAAATAGTGTGACACTGGTCCTACAGGTCTGACTCGTCACACTACACGTCTAAACGTGTATGGCTGATGATGGTTCAATAAGTTTATAAATCTGATGAGTGTTTAGATTTTCATTCTGAAGAGTTTTTTGTCTTCTGTGATTAGTTTAGTAAAGTGTGCAAAAGATATGCCAGATTTATGAAAAGTTTCAGAAAATGTGGCAAAGGGATAAAAAATAAATAAATAAATGTAAAAGACTTGAACCTGTGTGAATCAGGTTTTTTTCAAGGTCCCAAGTTTGCCACAGTTCAGATAACAACTGCTAAAAAGCACACATTTGAAAATGTAGCTTTTTTTTCCCGAAATGATTGTGTAATATTCTACATATATTTCAGAAACTGTGTGATACTGGCCCTTAAGATCTCTGACTCCCACACATGACACATTAGATCTGTACAAACTTTATCAGTTCATATTTCAGTTTATTGTCAGTTCTTCTGGATGTTTAAAGGTGCACTGCACAACCTTTCAGGTTTAAGGGGGTTCTCTACCATGGAGATACTTTACCTGTAATGTTACACAATATGGTATTAAATTTATTTAGGATGCTTTAATTGTTCAAAAAAAAAAAAAAACATTCATTTTTACTGTGAGCGGGGTCGCCTCTTCACAGATCTCACCTGTTAATTGGCCTAGTGGTGTCTCCTGCTGTCTCTGCAGTTTTTATGGAGATTTAAACATTTAAAGCCATACTTTGGAGATATAGCCAGGTCCGCTGACAGAAATATGGGGGCCCGGGGCAAAAAGTCTCACCCCCTTCTAATATAAATGAATCGGAAGGGGGTCCAACAACAGACCCTTTTGTTCCCCTCTCTCTACTGCCTTGGGTATAACAGTAACATCTCCATGGAAACTAACTGCCAGGCCTTCTACCAGAAAAGTTACACAGTGCACCTTTTTAAAATGTAAACCGAATCATATTGTTAAAGAAAATCTAACCATAATCACAACTCTTGTCAGAAAAAGTTATTAGATATGTTTCCAAAATTCCGCCCTAATGTTCACTGTATCTCATTGTAGACTCCAGCAGAACGGGAAAGGGGCTGTGTTGTTCCTCTGCCTCCCAAATGGAACAATTACTGGTGGAACTATTGGGGCTAAACCTCCAAATAGCACAAATAGAAATAAACATGTGTGCAATCTAGAAAAGCATGTTATTGCCAAATGCCCCATTATTTTAAGGTAGTAGGTGTACAATTATGCCTTTTTGACACCAGTATCTTGTTATACTTGCTACTTATTTATTATTTCAATTTATATTTTTGCTCTTTATTATATATATATTGTGGTGTGTGAGCGACTGTGTCCAAGTAATATAAATATAGTATAAATATAGTCCCTTGTGAATAAATAAAGTTTGTTTAAGCCTAATACCTGAGAATGGATGTGTATTTGCTAATGCATAATAATAATAAGAAGAAAAAATACATTTTTTCTATTACATACATACATATTACATATTTTTAGATTATATTATTTTAAGTACAAGATATACTAGTAAATCCAACAGGGGTGTCAGTAGCTCAGTTGGTAGTGTTTGCCCATTGATCTGAAGGTTGGTGGTTTTAATCCCACTCTTGACATAAACATGATTGATAGAGCAGTCAGATCCACCCACAGGTTGGCGGTTCAATTCCAGTTCCCACAGATGAATTCTGTCGTTGTGTCCTTGGGCAGGATACCCACCTCGTCGCTAGTGTCTGCGTATGTAACAGACCCAGGTTCTGGGCCTGTTGGGCAGATTAAATGTTTACTGTAAAACACAGGGAAAGAATGAGACAGGCAACCATGAAGTTTCTCTTTGCTTCGCTTCTGCCATATTTATTTATACAATCATGTATTTCATTTCAGTATTCAGCTTTTACCACTGTTCTTGGTTTACAATTCCCAATCATGTAATAAAATCTCATCCAAAACATAAAAATCTCAATATTACTATTTACTCCAAGTTTTTAACCAAAACGCACTTCATCCATTTCTACACCCGCAGCTGCTTTTAACATATCATTTTTAAGATATAACCGCCACCCTAACAGCTCATGAAGTGCATGGTAGTAACCGTGTACTACTGACTGGCTTTTAGCTTCAGCTTGAGACCTCCTTTAAACTTTCACTTCTGAACCCATGAACTTAACTTAACACTTTTACAATTAAGACAATGTCAGTGCACTTTAAAACATTCTCAGTTAGAAAAATGGGAGCTTAAAATAAATGTGTAATAAACTTAAAATGGTGCCTCACCTTGACCTGTCTCTTCACGCCTTTTACATGGCTCAAACTTGACAAAACATTTAGCAACTGATTTATTCTCTCACAGTTAGCTGTGTTTGTTACTTATTGTTTATGACCAATATAATGTGGTTTTTACTTCAACATTGACCTGGAAAACACAGGGAAAGAATGAGACAGGCAATCTGCTGCCATATTGGAGAGGAGGACCTCTGACCTCACAAAACCGTCTCGAGGAGTCAAGCGCCACCTACTGGTGTGAGGGTGTACTTACAGGTTAAATAAAGTTATTACCCTAATTGCTAATTTGAGTAATTTGAGTAATAACTTACTACCAATACACACAAAAATAAAGCATAATGTGAAAGCACATTACTGTGTGTCACACGTACACTACCCTGAAGGTGGAAAAGCGCTGTATAAGAAAGCGACCATTCATGTAACTGCACACAAATGATTAACTTCTCTATGGGTTTCAGAAAGATGAATAATTAGGATCGCTGGCATAGCATTTAACAATGTAAATATATAAAAGTTATATTTTGAATAAGAATAGTCCTCAAAAATACTACATAGAACAGGTCAGTGCCATAGTTATTTTAGTTAGATCTGAATTCTCATCAAAGTTACATCATGATACTAAACCAGGAGGCTTAGTCAGTGACAGCTGCTTCATTACTCGCTGCTTGGAAGGATGAAGTCAGGCCTATATTATGTAAGTCTGTCACGATAATTACTATGTCAATATATGTTCAATATAACTTTTGGGGGGCCGTATTTATGATGGGCAGACGTGGGTAGCATAGCCAAAAATTGTACTTAAGTTAAAGTAATTTAAAAAATAAAATAAAATACTAAAACTCAAGTAGTACAAAATCAAGAAATTTCTCAAGTAAGAGTAAAATATTTGAGAAAACTACTACTAGTAACTTACAAGAGTAACTGTAGTAACATAACATCTTATTTATAATTTGAAGTTAAAGTAATTTGAAAGACAAAACATTAAAAAGTCTGGTATTTTCAAAGGATAGACACAAAAATGAGACAAACAAAATCATATCTGAAGGAGCAGCGCAAGAAACACAAATGTTCAAATCATTTCACATGATCTACATATAGCTATTGTCACCGGCGGTATGGTGGCTGAGTGTCTAGTACTCATGCTTCACAGCAGGATGGTTCCGGGCTCGATCCTTCAGTCACCTGGGCCTTTGCAGCAAGAAATTACTAGAATTTGCATGTTCTGTCAGTGTCTGGGCTGAGTTTCCTCCAGGCACTCCGGTTTTTCCATCATACCTAAAAAACATGCACCAGGGACTACAGGTGGAAATGAGCTCTAGTAATGCATCTCTCCTGTTAAGATTAATCTATAGTGTGCACTGTCCTTGTCTCATAAATAAAATAAATACATAAATGAAGCTTGCAGACTTACTGACAGTTGTAAAAAATAACCAAAACTTTTACTCAAGTAAGAGAACTGTTACACTGTCAAAACCTCTGAATTTAGGGTTATTGTGTTGGTGGCATAAATTAGTATCAGTAATATCATTTATCAATGCGGGGTGCGGCTAATGCAGGGCATGGCTCTTGCGACTATATTTCATCATCGATATTTTCTTTAGCAAAATATCACAATAAATGTTTTTATTGTGACATACTTATTTGCAATTAATGATCTGCCTCAACTTGCAAAATGTGACTAGGTGTGTTCTTTGGCACTGAGAAGGTGGTTGTTTGTTCCAGAGAAATGTACAACCCCCCTCAGAGCTTTGCTATAAATGTGCTTTCTGAAGGTGCACACAAATCATAAGACTCTGGATCAGGAGATCCACTTTGGGTTTTTATAAAGGTAGGTCCATTCTATAACTATTCTCTCTCTCTCTCCCTCTCTCTCCCTCTCTCTCTCTCTCTCTGTCTGTGTCTCTCTCTCTCTGTCTCTCTCTCTCTGTCTCTCTCTCTCTCTCTCTCTCTCTGTCTCTCTCTCTCTCTCTCTCTCTCTCTCTCTCTCTCTCTCTCTCTCTGTCTCTCTCTCTCTCTCTCTCTCTCTCTCTCTCTCTCTCTCTCTCTCTCTCTCTCTCTCTCTCTCTCTCTCTCTCTCTCTCTCTCTGTCTCTCTCTCTCTCTCTCTCTCTCTCTCTCTCTCTCTCTGTCTCTCTCTCTCTCTCTCTCTCTGTCTCTCTCTCTCTCTCTCTCTCTCTCTCTCTCTCTCTCTCTCTCTCTCTCTCTCTCTCTCTGTGTCTCTGTGTCTCTCTCTTTCTGTCTCTCTCTCTCTCTCTCTCTCTCTCTTTCTCTCTGTCTCTCTCTCTCTCTATCTCTATCTCTCTCTCTGTCTCTCTCTCTCTCTCTCTCTTCTCTCTCTCTCTCTTTTTAATTTGTAAAAATCTGAACAAAATCAGCATTTTAAGCTGTTCACCTGAATCCAGAAAAGATTTACAGACAAAACTATTTTGAAGCCTCTCAGAGAAAGGGTTCATTGTGATCTTGACCTGATTGATTTGATACAAACATATACTTGATATCATATTTTAAACAAAAGACATTTCTCCATTGAAATGAATGAGGTTCTCTCTTAATCAGAAGTGCCAGGTACAATGGAAGTGCATGTCAGTACAGTTAATAAAAGTGGGCGAGGCAGAATGAGGTAAATATTTAGATACACATGTAAAGTACCACACAAGACAGTAGGGGGCCACACAGCTTAGAATTCCATCTCAAGAGAAAAATGTTCAGAACTGACACTTTGCAGCTCATGTCACCATTCCCCAGGGGTGTGACGCTAACTTAAAGTACTACTCACACCATTATTCACTGACAGAAGCTCTGTTGCTCAAGTTACTCACTTTAATGAGCTTTGTTTTAACACAATCTGACCAGAAAGAGATGACTTGCTTGGAACTAAAACAGGTGAGCTCTTAAACAAGTCTCTCACAGATAAACTACAGTCACAGGATAGCTAACATTAAAACAGTGTTCAGTTAGTCATTCTCACCTTTTTGTTGAAAATCAAACTCCTAAACAGGACCTTGAATGCTCGTATTGATCACAGGCTCCTGAAAATGTGCGAGTTTGAGTTTTCTTAAATGTATTTATCAGTGTTTGCCAATGTTTGTTATGTCACCATAACTGATGAACACTGCATTACATCCAATACACATGCATGTAGAACACATGGCAGAAGTGGCACATCTGCAGACCTAATCCCTGATCAATAATAATAAGAGTCACCATTTTAAAACTGATCTTAAGTTTTATCTTTGCTTTGTTGTAGTGCCTGTGAGACTTTCACGATGTCTGACTTGGACGCCCAATGGGAGGCATACAAGCAAAAGTTTGGGAAAGTATATGATCCGGTTAGTGGCTGTTTCATCTATACCAAAAAAAAAAAAAAAAAAAAAAAAAAAAGCATACACATTGGGCCTGTTTGTGAGCTCTTGTTTACTGTGGATGTTTCAGGAGGAGGATAAGGTCCGCAGAGCGATTTGGGAGGAGTCACTGAAGCGAGTGGAAGCCCACAACAAGGAGGCAGATGAAGGCAAGCACACGTGGTGGATGGGCATCAACCAGTTCTCTGACAAGGTGAGTTCACACACACAGATATGACAAGATTCATAATAGTACAGAATAACTACGTTCAGATCTATCATGGATGTTTGGTGGTAGTGAAAAGCAGAGGACAATGTGCTAGAACAGCCAAGAGGCCATTTTGAATCTTTAAATGGTGAACTACTAATTAAAAGCCGTTTATATTTTTCATAATGGTATGTAAGGGTTATGTTATTTTAAAGCCACAGTATGTGACTGTTTTTCTGAAATAATAATATATATATAATATATATATATATATATATATATATATATGTTTTTATTGCATTGTAAAACTCCCAGGCTTACATCTCCACAAACCTGTTTATGCCATAATAACATTTCCATGGAAACAAGGAGCAGGCCCTCCTCTAGGCCTAATAATAGTCAGGTTTGTGAACATGCAAGCCTGGTCAGAGTAAGGCAGCAAGATTCATATATTTTTCAGTGCAAACAAAACAGTCAAAATGAAAAAATGTTAAGTTACATACTGTGGTTTTAAAGTGAAAGAGACATACGCCACATTTATTTTAGGAACTCGTAGTCATTATATTTACTCACATTTTAATGTTGTGTGATTTATGCGTCATATTTTTATTTTTACTTTACTTAATTTATTTTATTGATTTATTTATTTGCTGTTTAAACTGTACAAAATGTAACCTCATAATTTATGTTATTGAAATTGCACAAAATTACCAGATGAAAAAATCATACACTTTCTTAGAAACATTTTTGTACATGTTCTACTGAGTGTCTCTGTTTTGCAGAAACCAGAAGAACCGCTGCCTTGTGGCCTAATTCAGCCTCCATTTGTAGAAGAATGGAATACAATGCAATCCCACAAATAATAAATACTTGCTTCTGTGAAATGTTTCCTATGTGCATGTTATAGTATTCATTTCTTGAGGATGATTTGGTTGGGGACAAGTCAAACCAGTCAAGTATTTGTTTGTCACATACAGTATATGTGTATACATTATATGTGTATAGTATTTTTTTTTTTTTTTTTGTGCAGCGTGGGCTGAAATTGGTGTGATGATTTTAACAAAGAACAGTATTTGTGAAAATACCTTGCCAAAGAAATACCAACATATATTAAATAAACATTGTTATATCATACTTTATTTCTTGTCATTTTAATTTTGTATCTGAAACATTTTATTTAGTTTCACATTTTCCAAATTTCCAGAAAACTAAAATAAATACATAAAAAAAAAAAAAACAGGCATATGGCATCCACAGTCTCTTTACTGTGAACGCTGAGCTAACCTGTCTGACACTGGGGCCGCCTCTCAATTCTCTTTCCCCGTTTCCTTCTCCTTGATTTCTCTCCACGATCCTCCATGTTTCAGCTGTCAATCAAATGTGTCATATTAAGTGGTGTCTCAAAGAAAACCACGGTAGGAAGGAGTAAACATGAGGGAGGCTTCAGAATGAATAAATTCAGATAAAAGAATCAAACTTTATTGATCTCAGTGAGGAGTTTATATCCACTCTCCTCACTGTGTCTCCTCTGTAGCTGGGACTTCCTCACCCATTTCCTACAGAATCAAGGAGAAGGAGGCGAGGATTTATTTATTTATTTATTTATTTAAACATAATAATAATATAGTGTGAAGTTTATTGCTTTAAATATTTACTTGTTGTTTATATTTAAAGGAATAAAAATCTAAATGTAAATGTAAATAAAAATTATTTGCCTACAGATTATTCAAGCATAAAAAATGTGTACATAATTCTATGAGAAATTTACAAATTGTGAAAAAAAAATAAAAAAAATAAACTTCAAATGGACTGGCTCCACATAGGCTACTTTTGTCTTAGTCCTTTAAGCTAACAACTATCAGGTTTTAAGGGTTGAATAATGACATCACTTTTTGAAGCTACCGTGAAAACCATCACTTTTGTTTAGGTGTTGATTTTTGTGCCAGTTTTTGTTTTGTGGATAGACATTAAAGTATATTAAACATAAACCAGGTTAAAAGATGTGTAATGTGACAATTAAACTGTAATTCCCATCACAGAATACATGCATCATGAATTTCGAACTTCCGGTCATTGCGCAATGCATACTGGGAAGGATTTTCTGAAAAAATTAGCATCAAACCTCCATGTTTGTTTTCCCAGTGGGATGTGCCTCTATTGACAAAGCCGATCTTTTCAAGTCTTTTGAACCATATCGCTTTTGTTTCTGGTTCTGATATTGTCATATTTTAGTTTTGGAATTCAGACATCGTAATTGTGTGGTTGTTGGATCCTAACAGCAGAAAATGGGCTTCAGAAGTTTGCGAACTCTATAAATGCAAAAAGGAATCAGATTTGTGTGATGGCAAACCTCCGTTCAAACTGTTTCCCTTCCCAACGGAATTGAAAAATAGTGAAAGGCAAAGGCAATGGGCAGGATTGATACAAAGGAAAGACAAAAAAGGAAACCTTTGGCTGCCTAAGAAATCATCCTGAGTTTGTAGCAAACATTTTGTACGTGGAGAGCCATCGAAGCAAAATCTCGATCCCTCGCTCCACCTTGGTTATGAATTTAAAAAGTTAACGCCAAAGCAAAAGGCACCAGCTGTTTGCTGAGAAACACCTTCCACTGCAAAGTGACCTAGATGTAATGTTGCTGTAAAGTCAGGCAAACAAGAAAGTGCGAGCTCAGCCTGTTTGTCTTCTGCACCTCTCGCTTAACAAACAGAATCCCGCTTTGATGGCACTCCACATATAAATATGTTTGCTGCAAACTCGGGATGATTTCTTAGGCAGCCAAAGGTTACCTTTTTGTCCTGATTCCCTTTTGCATTTATGGAGTTCACAAACTTCCAAAGCCCATTTCTCGAGCCTTTTTCCGCTGTTAGGACATCCAACAACCACACATTTACAATGTCCAAATCCCAAAAGAAAAATCTGACAACATCAGAACCAGAAACAAAAATTATATGGTTCAAAAAACTAGAAAAGACCAGCTTTGACAATAGACACATCCCACTGGGAAAACAAACATGGCGGTTTGATGCTCACTTTTTTGGAAAATCCTTCCCAGTATGCATTGCGCGATGACCAGAAGTCCGAAATTCGTGATGCGTACATTCTGACCTGTCCTCCACCTCACTAGTTTAAAGTAGGCATCTAGAAAGTTGAGATGTCACGTGAACACATCTTCTAGTAGTCTGTTTAGATTTGGGTGTCTGATATATTAAATAATATTTTAATAGTAATTTGAGAGTTACTCTACGTATAGAGTAGGTTATAATCTAATGAAGGTAATGTGCTCGCTCTCTTAATTTTCATTATTATTATTATTATGATTATTATTTTTATTTTTATGGGAAGCGAGGAAATAGAAATGACACACGGATTCCTTGGTGTGTGTTCCAGAGAATTGTGCTGTGACAGCTCTCTCTCTCTCTCTCTGTCTCTCTCTCCCTCTCTCCTCTCTCTCTCTCTCTCTCTCTCTCTCTCTCTCTCTCTCTCTCTCTCTCTCTCTCTCTCTCTCTCTCTCTCTCTCTCTCTCTCTCTCTCTCTCTCTCTCTCTCTCTCCTCTCTCTCTCTCTCTCTCTCTCTCTCTCTCTCTCTCTCCCTCTCTCTCTCTCTCTCTCTCTCTCTCTCTCTCTCTCTCTCTCTCTCTCTCTCTCTCTCTCTCTCTCTCTCTCTCTCTCTCTCTCTCTCTCTCTCTCTCTCTCTCTCTCTCTCTCTCCTCTCTCTCTCTCTCTCTCTCTCTCTCTCTCTCTCTCCTCTCTCTCTCTCTCTCTCTCTCTCTCTCTCTCTCTCTCTCTCTCTCTCTCTCTCTCTCTCTCTCTCTCTCTCTCTCTCTCTCTCTCTCTCTCTCTCTCTCTCTCTCTCTCTCTCTCTCTCTCTCTCTCTCTCTCTCTCTCTCTCTCTCTCTCTCTCTCTCTCTCTCTCTCTCTCTCTCTCTCTCTCTCTCTCTCTCTCTCTCTCTCTCTCTCTCTCTCTCTCTCTCTCTCTCTCTCTCTCTCTCTGCTCGGAAAACATGCGCACTCTGGCCACGCCCCCTCACAGCTCTGCTACAAATCTGCTCCCTGAAGCTCCACAAAGCAACACACAAGACTCTGGATCAGGATTCCACTTTGGGTTTATATAAAGGTAGGAAAACGATTCTTTCTCTCCTGTATGTCGGTCTGTTAGCTCAGATACATCAAAAGGAAAGGAATATAAACAGAAGTAGTGCGTGTTGTTTGTAGCCTAGCTGTGGAGGTCACTCACATGGCTGGGTTAACTCAGGACATGTTTACATTGTCACTGTTGCATTGTGTTAAACTAAAGGAGATTTTTAGATGCTACTGTGGGCTTCTACCCTGTGTTTTTAAAGTTTCATTCATATGTTAATTTGCCCTGTAATGAATCCCTGTGTACATGCTGTGTATGTTTCTGGACTTTGGAGTGTCAATGGGGTTGGGATATGATGTCATATGGACTGTGAATGTATATGGGACAGATAAGGGGTGTGTCTCCAACCTTTAGCATATGCCAGCCTGTTATGGGACACGTGTTGGGACAAAACTGCTGTGTATGTTACCATGAAGATGCTAACTCAACAGTTATGCTGGTATAAAAGGCACCCAGTTTTTCTGTGCATCAGTGGGGGAACGTCGACTGCGTTGTCGAGGGACGACCGACGCACAAAGTAGGCAAAATCATGCTGAATCAACTTGAATCTTGAGACCTGTACCTGCCTGAACCAATAAAGAGACATGTCTGAGAACTGTTCTAACTCTCCAAGCCTCTTTCTTAAGATCCTCTGTTCAGGCTGCCTCCAGGAGAAGCTGACACTACTACTAAATTTAATGTTAAAGTATTCTTACACTACTGATACTTTGCAGTGATATCATGCTGGGGGTATTCTACATGTGTCTCTATGGTGGAATGGCGACCAGTTACCATAGAGGTATAATGCACACATTTAGTAAATGCTAAAAGTCAAAAAGTTTTTCGATCTGATTTTTAGAAACTGTTTGCTAATGCTAGGTAGCTTGTGACTGTAAAATTATTTGCCAAGGATTTAGCTGTTGAAAGATTATCTGTTCCCACTAAATCAGCTCTTTCTGGTCAGATTGTGGTAAAATAATGCTCAGATTAAAGTCTCAGACAGAGCATGCCTACAGTTATCACACCCCCAGGGAAAGTTGACGATATCAGATGCAAATTATCAGTTGGTGGATTTCAGATTCTTGCATGTGATGGTGACTCACAGATGCAGGACATGAGACTGTAACACTATGACCGAGTGATTACTTTGCCACAAAACATCCAAAAGATACTGAACATTTCTATTATTGACTAAACCCACTAACTTACTGTATTACAACAAAATCTGCTTTTTACTTTTTAATTTTTAATTGGCTGTTCACCTGACTTCAAATAAGATTTACAGACAAAGCTGTTTTGAAGCCTCTCAGAGAAAGGGTTCATTGTGGTCTTGACCTCATTGATTTGACACATTTTAAACATAAGACATTTCTATAGTTCTCCACTGATATTAATGAGATTCTGTCATAATCACAAATGCTAAATACAACAGAAGTCCATGTCAGTAGCAGTTGATAAAAGAGGATGAGGAAGAATGAGGTGAATATGTAGATACACATGTAAAGTACCACACAAGACAGTAGGGGGCCACACAGCTTAGAATTCCATCTCAGGAGACAGATTTTTAATTGAATTGACACTTTGCAGCTGATGTCGTCTCCAGTTAATAATAAGATTCACCCTTTTAAAACTGAGCTTCAGTTTTATCTTCACTTTGTTGCAGCGCCTGTGGAGACGGTCACGATGGCCGACTTGGACGCCGAATGGGAGGCATACAAGCAAAAGTTTGAGAAAGTATATGATTCGGTTAGTGGCTGTTTCTTCTATACAACAACGTTTCCCCATTGGGCCTGTTTGTGAGCTCTTGTTTACTGTGGATGTTTCAGGAGGAGGATAAGGTCCGCAGAGCGCTTTGGGAGGAGTCACTGAAACGAGTGGAAGCCCACAACAAGGAGGCAGATGAAGGCAAGCACACGTGGTGGATGGGCATCAACCAGTTCTCTGACAAGGTGAGTTCACACACACAGATATGACGAGATTCATAATAGTACAGAATAACTACATTCAAATCTATCATGGATGTTTGGTCGTAGTGAAAAGCAGAGGACAATGTGCTAGAACAGCCAAGAGGCCATTTTGAATATTTTAACAGTAAGGGTTATATTTTAAAGCCATAGTATGTGACTTTTTCCCAAAAAATTGACAAAAATAAAAGAATGTTTTTAATAGATGTTTTATTGTAAAACTGCTTGCATCTCCACAAACCTGTTTCTACCATAATAACATTTCCATGGAATTGAGGGATCAAGTAAGGGAGCAACTTTTTATACATGTTTCAGTGCAAACAAAACAGCCCAAATGTAAACACATGTTTTTTTATTTGTCTTTTTTGGGGGAAAGGGGGTGGGGGTATAGGGGGTGGTAAATATGTAAAAAAAAAATGACATACTGTGGCTTTATGGTCAAACTTTGTTTTGTCGATAAACTTAAAGGAAGCATATTAAGCAAAATTGACTTCTTGGAACTTGTAGTTATGCAGTAACGGTATCCTCTCATTATACTATCTTACATTTATATGTTGAGTGATTCGTGTGTAGCATTCCTGGTGTATGCCACTGATAAAGGGGGAAGATGAATTGGTTTATGGGCTAGAACCAGAAGAAAAGGACACGGCTCTCTGGGAGAATAATACAAGAGACTACAAGAGACAAGAGAGTAATGACGTTCAGGTGGCTGGTGCCATGATATTGATTGTTAGTGCAATGTGATTTAACAAACACCCAGTATATACATCTGCAGAATTAGATGATCAAGCTTGAATTAGGCTAATGTTTAAACCTTAAGTTAAGTCAATTCAGTTCAAGTGCTCTTATTTAAAATTGTAATAGTTAAATTTGCAATGGCAGTATAACAGTAGCAGCCATACGTTTAAAAAAAAAAAAAAAAAAAAAAAGGGGGAGAAGTTACTTTGCTAGTGACAGAAATAACATTCACACATTTGAGGTATTTGCCACAGCGATGTGGGCTTATTGTTCATTTATGTAAAAAACAGATTGTCCATGTAATAATTGTCCATAAGTGCAAGCAACAATCCGTACGAGACTGTAGAAGCAGGGTGTTGTAGAGCAGTTATGGTTTAGGTTCTTTTGGGCTTTTCAACTCATCATCAGGGTGGTTTGTACCCAACCAGGCAGCCCTGGCCTGTATTGGACAAAGTTTAGTATAAAAGACATTAAAAATAATAGTAGTGGCTCTTAGTTACCGTAGCTAGCATTTAGTTTTTAGCAGTGTACACATAATCAGACATTAGATAAACAATTTCCATAAGTACAGTAATAAATAAATACATTTTGCATTAAAATACTTTACATAAACAACAGTATAAAAGCAATGGTATGTTTCAACATGTAAACATTAGTCATACTGGGCTAACATAGCTTTAGTGCAGCACTTTTCAATAGGTGAGGCCCGCCTCCCCTGGAAGGATCCGAAGAGCTGTTAGGGAAGTTATTTTGCTTAATATGCTTCCTTTAAGTTTATGAACAAAACAAACTTACACCATAAAGCCACAGAATGTAATTTTTTACATACTTACTCAAAAAAAAGACTATCTATGTCATTGAAATTGAACAAAATACCAGAAGAAAAATCACACACCTTAGAAAAAAATTCTCTGAATGAATTTTTGTACGTGTCTCATTGAGTGCCTCTGTTTTGCAGAAACCAGATGAAGTGTGTTGTGGCTGTCAAAGACGCAAGCATCACATTCACCTCCAAGATGAGGAGCATTAAGGAACAGCTGCAAGAGCCCAACCGTGAATGGACAAGTGGAAGTTTTCAGATTAGAATCTGATGACGTCATCCTCCCTGATGGGGGACAAGAGACAGATTTCCCTATAGATTCTGTTGTACTTTACCCTGAAATACCTAAAAGGTAAAGGGTCTAATGTGGAACCTGACCATCTTTATTAGTGACTAGACCCAAGAAGTCACTGTATTACAACAGAAAGCTGCATTTTAACTATATTAATTTTAGTTGATCCCCATGTGTATTCATTAATATTGTCCTATAGAATGCTGTGATGTCATCTATAGCTCAACAATAAGACTCACACTCATTCTGTCACTTCAGATCACTCCTTCAATAACAGTTTCACAAAAATCCAACTAACACAACATAGAAAATCTTGGTGATTCCTCACTCATACAGTTACCTTGGATATGTAATGTTTGTAAGTGTTTCCCCTTTTATTTGTCCTTTTACTTTTCTTAACATATTTTCTTTATTTGTTCCATGAACTATGGTAATAATAAATGCATATTCTTAGACAAGTTCACCCCCAAGTGGACAGTGGTGATAATATAAAAAAGTTACACTAAAAGTGAATTTACACTGAATACATCAATAAACACTTGTTTGTGTTAAATGTTTCCTATGTGCATGTTTACAGTATTAATCACTTGCGGGTGATTTGGTAGAAAGATGTCAAACCAGATGAGTATTTGTTTATCATATATGTAACCAGCAGAGGGCGCCAGAGAGTTGCAATGAACTACTTTTTTCCCTTTGGTCTTGAGTATGTGCAGTCTGAGCTGAAATGAGTATTTGTGAAAATACATTGCCAAAGAAATGTCAAAATGTATATATATTTAAAAAAAAAATAAATCCATATTACACTTTCTTGTCATTTTTATTTTATATCAGAAGCATTTTATGTACTTTTACATTTGTCAAATAAATAAATAGATACATACATACATACATACATACATACATACAGGCATATGGCGTCCTTAATCTGACACAGGGAAGCTCAGAGGAGGAAATTCCTGTGCCAATTAGGGGTCAAAAGTGGGCCGGGGTTTCCTCTGCCATTTTGTAATTCTTTTTATCTCAATAGTCTGGCAGTCTTATAATAAATATATCAGCTCTAGGTTTGTCTGAGAAACATCTGATGAATAACATTTGAGCATTATTGTCATTCTGCATTATTTTCTTTCTTCAAACTGTGTTCAGTGTGCTCTTTGTTAAAGGTATTTAATTCAAATTCCATGAATGTGACCTGTCTGTGTCCACAGATATAAGTTTAATGTCCAAATCAAGTGTTGCTGGTAACAATTGTGATGTTAATTTATTCTTAATTACAAAAATGATGATGGCCAAATGATGTTATAATTTGGTGTTTTGCATCCAATCAGAAAGCAGAATGAGCCTCACACGAGTCTCACTTGGGTTGCCAGTTTCAATGCTGAAATTCAGTTAAAAATGCCTCTCTCTGATTTGAATGGTCACGACCTAAACCCTAGAACCTGCAGCCAGTCATCAATCAGTGCTAGTGCAGCCTCTGCAGCTCAAGGAGGGAATTCTGGAGGTTCTGAGCTTTTACATGAGACATGGCCTCTCCATATATACTGAGAAAGAGAAGAACATGTATGTGTCCTGCTTATATGCAGGTTAAGGCACAAGCAACCCAGGTTCAGCTGAGATTGTAATACTACTTATGTAAAGAATAAGAGTACAGGGTACATACATTTCCTTATTTAAATGTCCCACCACAGGCTCATGAGATTCATCACGATGCTATATTTGCACATTGATACACTGATTCAGCTTAAGGTTCTTAAAAAATCTTTGCTTGAAATTAGCACAGAGAAGGTGCAATATCATCCATTCAGTCGAGTTGTGTATGAGTAAGTACTTCTGCAGAACTTAGGGTTACCAGTAAATGTGCACTGTCACTTGTCATGTGCTCAGAGCTTGTTTGTTTGGTTTGTGAGGAATGAGGAAGGAAAATCTACACCTGCTTACTGTAACTGTGAAGCAGATAACTGTAGAGTAAGCTGTTTTTCATTCTCTCAGAATTTTTGACAAACTTTCAAAATGAGTTCACATGATTTTAGGAAGTGACTACAGTTTAAAAAAAAAACGAAACAAAAAAACACTGATTCTAATCAATACTAAAACTTAGAGGTGTGAGACATATTGTAAATGAATAATAGCACAATGTTGTTCTGGAGATTTGTCTACAATTGCAACTATTAAAACAAAATAGAAGCAATAAGTGTAACCTTCCAACAAGTATATGATATTTTTGCATTTTTTTTCCTTCGAATCAAATCCAGGTATCATTTTAACAATTTTTACCATGTAGAAAAGCTCAATTTCAAAACATTTAAAATCCAACTGGAGTTAATTATGGTACACTTTGATAAACATGCAAAAGTATTCAGTAGTGTCAGTTTATTTGTACAGCACAGTTTGTACAAAAAGTAATTCAAATTGTTTTACAGAATAAGAAAGATGTTAAAACCACAATGCAAAGTAATCGAAAACCAAAATAATCATCATAACATTAACAGTAAAAGAGTAGAGTGCAAAGTATGAACCTTTCTTTTGCATAAGTCAATAAGTCAAGTAGAGGCCTGTCTCACATGTTCAGGAAGACTGTTTCAGGTTTTAGTTCCATAAAACTGAAACTGACTCTCCTGGTTTAGTCCTGGTTTAGTCCTGGTTCAGCCATAGTTTAGTCCTGGTTTAGTCCTGATTCAGTCCTGATTTAGCCCATGTTTAGTCCTGGTTTAGTCCTGCTTTAGCCCATGTTTAGTCCTGGTTTAGTCCTGGTTTAGTCCTGCTTTAGCCCATGTTTAGCCCTGGTTTAGTCCTGCTTCAGCCCATGTTTAGTCCTGGTTTATTCCTGCTTTAGCCCATGTTTAGTCATGGTTTAGATCTGGTTCAGCCCTGGATTAGTTTAGTTATATTAAATTAAATTGGATTAGATTCGTTTAGTTTTGGTTTACTCCTAGTTTGGTCCTGCTTTAGCCCATGTTTTGTGCTGGATTAGTTTAGTCCTGGTTTATTTCTGGTTTAGTCCTGGTTTAGTCCTGCTTCAGCCCTGGTTTAGTTTAGTCCTGGTTAAGTTCTAATTTAGTTCTGATTTAGTCCTGCTTTAGCCCAAGTTTAGTCCTGGTTTAGTCCTGGTTCATCCATGGTTTAGTCCTGGTTAAGTCCTGGTTCATCCATGGTTTAGTTCTGGTTTAGTCCTGCCTCAACCTTGGTTTAGTCCTGGTTTAGTTCTGATTTAGTCCAGGTTTAGTCCTGCTTTAGTCCATCTTTAGTTCTGGTTTAGTCCTGGTTCAGCCCTGGTTTAGTTTAGTCCAGGTTTAGTTCTGATTTAGTCCTGGTTTAGTCTTGGTTCAGCAATGGTTTAGTCCTGGTTTAGTCCTGCTTCAGCCCATGTTCAGTCCTGCTTTAATCCTGCTTTAGCCCCTGTTTAGTCCTGGTTTAGCCCTGGTTCAGCCCTGGTTTAATTTAGTCCTGGTTTAGTCCTGGACTAGTCCTTCTTCAGACCATGTTTAGTCCTGGTTTAGTTCTGGTTAAGCCCTGGATTAGTTTAGTCCTGGTTAAGTTCTGGTTTAGTCCTGCTATAGCCCAGGTTTAGTCCTGTTTTAGTCCTGGTTCAGCCATGCTTTAGTCCTGGTTTAATCCTGGTTTAGTCCTGCTTTAGCCCATGTTTAGTCCTGGTTTGATTCTGGTTCAGCTCTGGATTAGTTTAGTTCTGTTTTAATTCTAGTTTAATCCATCTTTAGCCCATGTTTAGTCCTGGTTCAGTCCTGGTTTAATTTAGTCCCGGTTAAGTTCTGCTCTAGCCCATGTTTAGTCCTGGTTTGGTCCATGTTCCTGACTATGAGCACCAGCAGGAGTCGGCACTATCATGTCAGAGATGTATTTTGGTGTAAGGCCATGGAGAGACTTGTACACAAACAAAGCTGCTTTAAAGTCTATTCTCTGAGCCACAGGAGCCAGTGCAGAGACTTGAAACCAGACTTTGAGATGTGCTCGTAATTTTTGGTTCGAGTCAGGACCCGAGCAGATAGTGTTCTGGATGTAGTGCAGCTGTCTCACAGTGAGCGGCCCATTACAGTATCTAATCTACTGGAGACAAACACATGGACGAGTCTCTCCAAATGTGTAATCTTTAATATATATACAGCATGATATAATTTACATCACATTACAGTATTTGTCCGCTCCCTTTTTGTCAGTAGTACTAAGAGCTCAAGGGTCACTACTGCAAACCTGTCTCCTGGCGATATATGCAATTTATAGGTTGTAGTTTCACAATTTATCCTCTTTATGGGAACCATGTCTTCAATGCTACAACTTCGCAGAATTCGTGGGCAACCTGAATAACAATGCTTTTCATGTTACCATCTAAAATCTGACTATGACTCAAAGACTGTGGATATAAAGGGACATAGTTAGGGATGCAACAATAACCAAAATATTGTGATATCGTATCGTCAGAGTTCTCACAATAATATCATGGACAATCACAATATATCGAATTACAAGTCTCTTTGCTTAAATGAAGAGTTATGGTGCAGCAATAGCTAAAAAAAGACAGAGGGAACTACATAGACCATGATCCTTTGCTCCATTTCAGTGTAGACTTCAAGAAGAAATAACAGTTCTAAGCACTTTTAAGTCTTAGTTCTTTGGATTAAGTCTTGTCAAGGCATTTTAAGAGGAAAAAGTAGCATATTAACAGTTTTAGCCTCCACAAAATATCGTACCGTGAGTTGTATATCGTGAAAATATTGTACCGAGAGATTTGGATATTGTTACATCCCTAATCATGAGCCTCCCCACCATATCGTGAGCTTTCCCACGATATCGCAATAAATATCGCACCATGAGGTTCATACCGTGATGATATCGTATCATGAGACTTGGATATCGTTACACCCCTAGACATAATTAAACCAATTCCGGTTCACTTTGCATTGAAAAAACGTTGCTGCTCTCTCTGTAACTGCTGTTGTCAGGCCCCTCATTTTGGTCTTAAAATGTTTGTACCAACCCGCTCCATGTGATCCTGGAGTTTTTGATTTTCTGATTTGGATTTTTTATAATAAATTCCTATTCCTGATATGAAACTGAGCTCCAAATTCCACCCATAACTGCCAGCATCGGTGAGCTTTCTTTGATTGGAAGTTGGACGTCACACTCCTTAAGTCCTCTTCTTCATGCAGTCCATGATATGACTAAATCGAGTTACATTATAATTAACAGCCATGAAGACAGTTTATAAAGTCTCCTCTGAAGTGTGCAGTTCACTCAGATGTCACGTGTCTTATATACCCAGGTGTGTACTACGATCCGAGCTGTAACCAAGACGACATCAATCACGCCGTGCTGGCAGTGGGCTTCGGAGTCACCGTCAAAGGGAAGAGGTACTGGATCGTAAAGAACAGGTGAAGCAGCAGGTGGCTCACGGGGACCACGAAATGAAACACGCCAGGGTGGACTCTGTCTGTTATATATTTCTGTCAGCCACGTTTGTGACAAGATGATGGAGGTACACTGGAGCCTATGGCCATGATTCAATCCAATGACACCAATGTAACTGATTGTGAGTGTCCAGCT